AGACCCGTGCTGGGTTCTTCCCAGAAGTCGGACAGGTGTCAGGGAGGGGTGGGACTCGGGGGCCGAGACCACGGGAAAGCTGGTGGGCCTGCAGCACCCCTCCTACCCAGAGGGGTCAGGACCATGGGAGCGCACAGGCCCAGGAGCGGTGTGACTAGCCCGCAAAAGGCACGAGGCCCCCAGGGTGCACACTGCTGCAGTCCTGAGATCCAGAGTCCAGGAGGCTGGCCAGCAGTCCGTGGTCAGGGGCCCCACAGAAGCGTGGGCTGCTGCAGGAAGGACCCTGGTGCCCAGAGCTGCAGGAGGTCCCCTGAGGACCCCTCAGTGTAGATGAGCTCAGCTCTCAGAGCCCACTGGGCTTCATGTCCCCGACACAGCCCTGGGGAAACTGGACTGCCGTGGCGGGAGGCAGGCCGTAGTGCTGGCCAAGGGGAGGCCCCTGGAACGGGGCAAAGCCAGAACTGGAGAGAGACCTGGCCGCCTGACTGCAGTGACTTTCCAGACCCCTCATCCTGAACACAGAACCTACACGGACGGGCAGGCCCCGGGGGAGCTAACAGGTGCTGAGGCCCTCGGCGCCCTGGGCCAGCCCCGCACACAGGAGCCCAGGTGACCTCTGGCAGCTTAAACACCCCAGGAGTGTGTATTTGTGCCCCAAAGCCCAGCAGGATGGAAAACAGGGAAGGGGCTGTGGCATGACCACACCCCAGAGAGAGCTTTACCCCATCCCACTCTGTCTCTCTCCAGAGTGCACATGCCCTCTGAGGGTTCATTTAGAAACAAACACCAACCACACATCTCTGTGTCCAGCGGGAACTGCACCTGGACCGCCCTCTGGCTCCACCTGGGCCGCTGCAGGTCGCTATTACATGCCCTTCTCTCCATTTTTAAGAGAGAGGTTTTTGCTATAGGGAGCGTGTGCTTGCCAGAGAGATGCAGGAAGGACCCTGGTGCCCAGAGCTGCAGGAGGTCCCCTGAGGACCCCTCAGTGTAGATGAGCTCAGCTCTCAGAGCCCACTGGGCTTCATGTCCCCGACACAGCCCTGGGGAAACTGGACTGCCGTGGCGGGAGGCAGGCCGTAGTGCTGGCCAAGGGGAGGCCCCTGGAACGGGGCAAAGCCAGAACTGGAGAGAGACCTGGCCGCCTGACTGCAGTGACTTTCCAGACCCCTCATCCTGAACACAGAACCTACACGGACGGGCAGGCCCCGGGGGAGCTAACAGGTGCTGAGGCCCTCGGCGCCCTGGGCCAGCCCCGCACACAGGAGCCCAGGTGACCTCTGGCAGCTTAAACACCCCAGGAGTGTGTATTTGTGCCCCAAAGCCCAGCAGGATGGAAAACAGGGAAGGGGCTGTGGCATGACCACACCCCAGAGAGAGCTTTACCCCATCCCACTCTGTCTCTCTCCAGAGTGCACATGCCCTCTGAGGGTTCATTTAGAAACAAACACCAACCACACATCTCTGTGTCCAGCGGGAACTGCACCTGGACCGCCCTCTGGCTCCACCTGGGCCGCTGCAGGTCGCTATTACATGCCCTTCTCTCCATTTTTAAGAGAGAGGTTTTTGCTATAGGGAGCGTGTGCTTGCCAGAGAGATAGACAGAAAGCGAGAAATCACCTCCCGGGGCATGGCCACATGGCAAACCCTTCTCCTCCCTTCTCCTCTAGGGATTTTAGGCATGCACATGTGTCCAGGCCCAGGACTTGAACTGCAATCAGTCATATGGGAATTCAGAGTCTTAACCACTACACCACCTGCTGATCCCCAAGAATGGCTCCTTTTTTTTCCCCTTCTCCTCCACTCCCCTCTTGGAATTTTGGGTGCGCGCGCACACGCACACACCCAGCATGAGTTTTAAATGGACAGGTCCGGGACCTGAACTATATAGTCAACTATGTGGGAGTCCAGCAACATACTCATTATGCCATACGCTGGTCCCAAATGTCTCTTTTTTAAATTGTTGGAGGGCACGTGCACTTACCAGGAAGAAAGAGACAAAGGGAGAAGCCACTCCCCAGTGGGAAGTCACGGTACTGCCATTTCTCCATCCTGTTGGGGTCTGAGGCATGCACACACACCAGGCATGTTTCTCTTTTGTTAAAATTATTTTGGGGGGTCAGCAGGTGGCATGGTGGTTAAGGGCACTGGACTCGCACGTGGCTGACTGGTTCGAGTCCCAGACCTGGGGCTTGCTTTCTCACTTTCTCTCTGTCCTTCTCTGGTCAAACTGAAATAAATCAATAAAGTTAAATAAAAGAATTCCTCAAAAAAAGAGAGTGATTTTAATTGCCAGTGGTGGTGTGCTTACCATAGAGAGAAAGAGGGAGAACCCATGGGGTATGCTCTGTCACCATGCCTTCCTCACCTCTCTGCCGCCAGCGTGTTTCCCACTGGGAGGGGCTCTCACCCAGCAGTCAGCTTTGCAGGATGGGCTCCCTCCACTGCCCGTTGTGGAGCTGGCCCTGCCTGGTGGGAAATGCCATCTCAGAAGCATGGCTGTCATGTGCACATGTCATCAACCTGTCACCGTTTCCTTCTCTTAGGGTCTTTCGTCTTGGTTTTTTTAGAGAGATTTTTGCTATAGGCCCTGTGTGCTAGTAGGAAAGACAGAGAGAGCCAGAAATCGCCCCCAGGGCGGGTTGCCTCCGCAATCCCTTCTCCTCCAGTCTCCTCTCGGGATCCTGGGTTGCACGCACGCACACCTGGCCTGAGTTGGAAGCCACCGGGTCCGGGATTCAACCGGGGCGGGCCATGCAGAGTCCACCTGCTGGCCCTAGTCAAGGTCTGCTCTGTCACAGTGCAGGACGAGGTCAGGCCGACTGACCAAGGCCGGGGTAGGCTCCAGGCAACGGGGAGGGGATCCAGCGGGCTGGGAGAGGCCAGACGCGCCAGAGGCCCAGCCCAGCTCCCAGGCCGCAGCCTCAGCGTGTGCGGGCCAGGAGCCGCCACCCTCCCGCACCTCGGCCCGAGTCGGAGCCCTACAGGTCCCCGAGGACACCTGGGCGGCAGGACCAAGGCCTCCCGGACCGCCAGGGCGCTGCGACCAGGACTCTCCTCCCGGGACCCGAAGGCTCGGGGCCGGGCAGGGGGCCCAAGGCCACCGCTATGCTTTTTCTTTGTCTGTTGTTTTCATCATACATCATGTGTTGAATTACCTTAATTTTACAGTATTAAACTAACTGGGTTAAACTCCAAATCGGTCCATTACTTATTATTATCTTTTTAACATATTGCTAAATACAATTTACTAAAACTGGGACCAGCAAGCAGCATAATGGTTACATCACTGGACTCCCATGTAGTCCCAGACCCGGTGGCTTAAACTCACACTGGGCGCATGTGCATGCATGCCCAAGATCTCAAAAGGAGAATGGAGGAGAAGGGATTGCAGCATGGTCATCCTTCCAGAGGGGTGATTTCTAGCTTTCTATCTCTCTGTCTCTCTCTATCTTTATGGCAAGTGCACATGCCCTATAATAAAAACCTCTCTTAAAAATAAATAAATAAAATAAAAATAAATTAGTACAATTTACTAAAATGTTGGTAAGTTTTTTTGCATCTATATCAGTAAGGGATATACGTTTATTGTTCTCTAGTCTTTGTCAGGTTTGGTATTTGGGTAATGCTGGCGTTGTATATCCAGTTGGGCATGATCATGAGAATGTTTTGTGTGAATAAGAATCAGAAACAGAAAGGAAGTCACATGTTAAACTGCAAGATGAAAACCAATTAATAGTCAGGCCTGTCTGCACGCGAGCGGGGCGCCGCCGGGGAGCCGGGCTTTGTCCCGGGAGCAGGGAAGGGCCAGCTCGTCCCGGCCCCCGCGGGGCTAAGACCCCGCGGGGTCTGCCCTGGCGCCCGGAACACCGCCCTCTCAGCCTCTCGGCCCCCGGGACCCTCGTGCTCTTCCCGCCTGGCACCTCGCGGGCCCTGCGGCCGCGTGCGCTCCAGGCACTGCTGGAGCAAGGGCCGAGCCCCGAGTGGGCTGTGAGAGCCGCCCCGCGCCCCGCTCTGCGGGAGCACAGCCCAGGCCCCGCCCCAATACCCCCTGGGGCAGAGTTGCTCCCTGTGGGGAGGGCGCCTGGCTTTGGAGCAGGGTACAGAGCACAAGCCTTGACCGACCTCAAGGGCAGAGCTGCACGGGAGATGGTCAAGGAGAAGGGGAGGGAACCACCTAGGGACAAGCGCGTTCTTCCTTCACTCCTGGGGTGGGATCTTCAAGGCCTTTTTCTCCAGGAAGCCCTCCATGACTATGTCTTGAGCATGGATGCCCAGCTTCTGCTGCAGGCCCTACTAGCTGCTGGGTCTTGATGCCCTCACCCCTTGGCTGCCTGTCATGGGTAAATCACTCTGCATCTGTTAAAGTGGGAGCCGGAGACCTGGGCCTGGGAGGTGAGATAAGGTGATGCAGTCATCGGCCCCCTTGGAAGGGTTTCTCAGGTGTCCAGACACCGAAGCCAGCCCAGCGTGGGCGCTGAGGCCCCCACCGGAATCCTCTGAGCCCCGCCCTTTTGGATTAACAAAACCTGCTAATTGTGGCATCCCCTCCCCCACAGCGGGCCTCCTCCCTCCTCTCCCCTCCCCCTTGCATCCGAATGATAAAGGGCCCCAGCCGGGCCCCTGGCCCTTACCTCGCCACTCTGCCCCCTTCCCTGAACGGTCCACCACCCCTGCATGCAGCCCTGCAGTGACTCCCGCCTGGGGCCCCCCAAGGCAGCGGCGCCCTGCCAGCCCCACAAGAGGAGGAAGAAGAGGTACCTGCGTCATGACAAGCCCCCATACACCTACCTGGCCATGATTGCCCTGGTGATCCAGGCCGCACCCTCGCGCAGGCTGAAGCTGGCCCAGGTGAGGGTCCCTCACCCCAGACCTGACTCCCACTTGTGTCCAGGCTGCGGCCTGCACCCCCACCCGGCCCCACTCAGCTGTGGGACCAGCCTGAGAGCCCAGGGGCTCCAGCCACCCTTGTCCCAGGCCCGTCTCTGGCGCCCAGAGGTGAAAAAGTGTTCCTGGGGTGGGCAGGCCGGCTGTGGGGTAGGGTGGGCGCCGCCCAGTGCCCCGCTCACGCCGCGGTGGTCTCAGATCATCCGGCAGGTCCAGGCCGTGTTCCCTTTCTTCAGGGACGACTACGCCGGCTGGAAGGACGTCATCCGCCACAACCTTTCCTCCAACCGGTGCTTCCGCAAGGTGGGCCCGCAGGGGAGCGCGGGGTGTGCGGGAGTCTCCAGCATCTGGAGTGGGCGGCCCCACCTAAACTACCCTCCACCCCCAGGTTCCCAAGGACCCTGCGAAGCCGCAGGCCAAGGGCAATTACTGGGCTGTGGACGTGAGCCTGATCCCGGCGGAGGCACTGAGGCTGCAGAACACGGCCCTCTGCAGGCGCTGGCAAGACTCGGGCGTGCGAGGCGCCTTCGCCAAGGACCTGGGCCCCTATGTGCTGCATGGCCGGCCGTACCAGCCGCCCAGCGAGGGTTTCAGTATCAAGTCCCTGCTAGGGGTGCCAGCTGACGCAGCAGCCCAACCCCGGCGGGGGCCGCAGGACAGTCCCGCTCCTGCAGGCACGGGGTGCGGTGGGGGGGGGGCACCGCCCACCCCACCCCTGCCCTCCTCTGAGAGGTCCCTGTGGCCTCCCCCCCTCTCCGGGCCCCTGAGAGTGGAGAGGGAGACACCCCAGGGGGGAGCCCTCAGACCCTCGACCCTCTCCCCAGAGTCTGGGGCCTGGCCCCTCCGTTTCCTGCAGGGTACCTCAGAGGCCGGAGGACTCAGGGCCTCACCTTGGGGGCAGCTACCTACTTCTTACTTGCCTGTCTACACCCCCAATGTGGTGGTGCCCTTGGCCCCACTACCACCCACCTCCTGTCTGCGGTGCCCAGCCTCAGGCAGCCCAGCATACTGGGGGGTGGCCCCTGAAGCACAGAATCCCTCGGGTCTGCTCTGGGACCTGGATGCCCTCTTCCAGGGGGTGCCACCCAATAAGAGCATCTACGATGTGTGGGTCAGCCACCCTCGGGACCTGGCTGCCCCCAGCCCAGGATGGCTGCTCCCCTGGTACAGCCTGTGAGGCTGGAGGGCAGGGCTCCGTCTCTCCCCCACAGCAAGCTGGTGGGATGAGGCCACGCCTTAAAACACCAGGCTCCAGCCTTGCTGAGAATCCACACGTTTATTAAGGTGCCCAGGCCCGTCGGGCACAGCCCTGGCCCACCTTGCCTCTGCCCCCGCCACGCCGCAGGCCAGCCAGGGGAGCCCTTCCAACCCAGCTACCCATCCGTCACCAGCCGTCCTCCCAGGCCCCAGGCTGGGGGAGGGAGAGCCAGGGTGGGCGCTCTGGAGTCCTGCCCTCCTTCAGCTGTCAAAGGAAGTAGCACCTTTTGGGAGAGGGGGGTTAGGGAGCAGACTGGCCCCTGCTGGTCTTGGAGGAGGAGGAGAGATAACAGTAAAAGCTTTCATCATTTTAATGCCAGGTCTGACTTGGGTCCCCAGTTGGAGGCAGCTCCCCGCCGTGTGCTGTGATAAGGGCAAATGGCGATGAGGCCAGGGGGTGGGGGAGAAGCCATGATTTCTCCAGGCCTAACGCTCAGCCCCCCCCCCTCCCCGCACGTGGGGAGTCAGCAAAGCCCAAGGAGGCTGTGCCCTGAGAGGCCCGTGCTGCCTCTGCTGGCAGAGGCGAGTCCCCATTCTCTCTTGGGCAAGTGGACACCTACAGGGTCTACAGGGGTGGGCCCTGTGGAGACTCGAAGGCCACACCGGACCCGCTGTCTGGGCTGGGGCTGGGAGGGCTGCCTGGAGATGGCGTGGGAGTGCAGGGGGTCCCGGTGAGAGGGGTGTCCGTACTGAGGGAGGAGGGCGTTCCGGAGCGTGGGGCCCTGCGGCGCCGGGCGGGTCCCAGCTGCACTTGGCCCACTCGCTCTGCAAACTTGAGCGAGCAGACGGTCTCTCCGAGGTCCTCTGGCCGCGTGGAGATCTGTGGGGGAGTGCAGTGGTGGGCGGTGCCCGTCCCATCCATGGCTGCTCCCCTTACTGCGCAGGCGCGTCGCCAGGCACCCACCTGCAGCAGCAGCACGGCGGTGGTGCCTGGACCCAGTGCCGGCTGCAGCAGGCGTGTGAGCTGGGAGTCACGGAAGGGCACGTGTGGGCGGTGGGCCCGCAGTGCAGCCATCACGCCGCCGAGAGCCAGCAGCGAGCGGTTGATGGTCTGAGCCTCTCGCAGGCGCTGGGCGCTGTCTGGGTCACCCCGCTGCGCACCGGCCACCCCCGCCTTCCATGCCCGCTCAGATCCTGCTAGATCCACCAGATGCAACGTGCCTGCAGGGACAAGCGAGCCCAGCGTGGGAGGAGGTCGGCGGGGACTTGGGTGGGCTCGGGCACTGGCTGCAGTACCTGTGCTGCCTGGAGCGCGCGGTGGAGATGCCACGTGCAGCGTGACCAGAGCGTGGGAGCGGGAGCTGTGCCGATTCATGGCAGTGGCAGCGGTCGCACGGTTGCGCCTTCCCAGGCTCAGCATCTGGAGGGCAGAGCCTAAGCTCACCTGGTGCCAGGAGGGCCCTGGTGGGCTCAGCAACTGGCTGGGCAGCCTTACCTGGTGCAGTGTCTCCAGGTTCGGCACATCCCAGTGAGTCAGGCCAGACACCTGGACCCCCCCCTGGCCTGCTGGGCCCTGCCTCACTGCCAGGCGCTCAGGAGGCCCTGGGGCCAGGAGATCTCTGGTGAAAAAGAGGAGAGCTTGGTTTCAGGGACTGGAGGACCCTGGGTCAGGGCAGGAAAGAGGTCCACAGAGCCACCCACTCCAACCTGACAGCTTCATTGTAGATTTCCACCATGCTAAGGGTCACGCCGTGTTGCCTTCCAGCTCCCATCTCCCGGAACAGAGACTGCAGAGCCCGAGGGGCTATCCCGGGGTCCTCAGGAGGGCCCTGAGGGTGGGGTGGGTGCCACATGGGCTCACAGCTAAGCTGCTGGCCCCAGGGGCCACCCGAGTAGCGGGGCCTTTCCCCCAGCCCACCTCCATGCTGTAGGTCTTCCCTGTGCCGGTCTGACCATAGGTGAAGATGCACACACTGTAACCACCCAGGCAGGACAACACAGCTGGCTCCAGCTCCCTGAAGACCTAGGGGCCAGAGGGACAGGAGTTTCCTGACATTTAACTCTGGGGATCCACGGGGGGGGGAGGTTGGCAGACTGGAGGGTGGATCCCTGGAGAAGGTGGTATTGCAAGAGCCTGCCAGCTGAAGAGCTTTGCTCCCTGGGAGTGGAGGGCAGCAGTGGCTCCTGTGGTAGTGGCCATGCGTCCTAGAGGACCGTGCTGCATCCTAGAGGACTGTGCAGCTTGGCCCAAAGAGGGCAGGTCAGGGGAGGGCCCAGGTGTGGGACTGGGGGCTAGCCCAGCCCCAAGATGGGGAGGCCACTGTAGGGAGGGCCAACTTGTGCCCTGTTGGGTCGGATGCCGGCAGCAGCCTTCTGAGCAATGACAAGGCTGGCTACCATGCCCAGGTCTCCGGCAACTGGGCGGGCTGTCACCCCTGAAGCATCCTGGGTGATGGCCATGAGGACAGAATCCAGAACTGCCAGTGTGGTCACTAAGATTCCCACCGCTGGATGAGGGACACCCCGCGGTGCTATGGGCAAGGAGCAGTGACAGGTCCCTGGGTTCACAGTGAGCAGAGGCCCGGCCAGGAAACAGAGTCCTGTGTGGGGCTGTGGTTGGGGAGGGACTCTGGCCAAGCAGGATGTGCCAGGTACTCAGAAAGGCAGATGAGGGTGAGGGGCCGGTAGGGTCCCCAGCCGGCTGCTGGGCACTGCTATCGCATTAGCCCTGTGTAGGAGCTGGCTGGACCTGAGTCGCTGCTGGCTCTGCCCCTTACCTAGTCCCCACCTGCTCTGGGCCTGTCTTGGCTGCACAAGTTCTGTGCAGAGCCCATGTAGGGGCCGAGGTGATGTGCGTAAGGTGAGCTGGTGGCCAGGGTATAGCCTGTAGGTTTTCACTGGCGTCTGACCCGGAGAGAGGTGAGGCTACCAGGACCTGGGTGTGGCCAGGCCGAAGCGGGAAGCCTGTGGCTCCGCACCACCCCACCACCTGCCTAAGGTCGCAGAGCAAAGACGGAAGCCCACCCTCGGGTGTGCAGCAGCGAGGCCCAGCAGGCGAGGCTTGGACTGCTGTGGCAGTCCCATGGCACGGAGGCAGTGCCTGCCATGTGGACAGGCTCATTTGCCCTCCAGCTTCCTGGAAAAAGACCTTTTCAAAGATGTTAACCTTCCTGTCTAAAGCAGAGGTCTGTTTCCTGGGCCAGCAAGGCTTGATGGAGTATTCAGTGAGGGAAAGCCCTGGAAGGGAAGGAGGTGCCACTAGGACTGCCGCCCCAGCCTCCCAGGCGCTCAGCACCCCCAGATGCCCTGCGGGAACCAGCCCTCTCCCTCCTCCAGCTAGCAAACAGGGATTGGGAAACCAGGCCCTTTCCTGGGTGCCAAGGAGTTCTAAGAAAGGGCCAGGTAAAGGTTGGTGGTCACCTCTTCCTGGCTGGCATCTGGAGGAAAGACCCAGTCCAGACAGAAACGACGCTGGCGCCCTCGATAGCAGGTGGTGACAGTGCCTCCAGGGCCAGGCTCTGTGCGCACCAGGCTGGAAGGAATCCCTGGCCTCAGCCGGCACAGCACACGGATGTTCCCTGCAATGGAAATGGGTCCACAGATTGTCCCAGGCCCTGCCCAGAAAGACCCCTCCTCCAGCCTGCCCTAGCCCCCACCATACCCCTGAGTTCCAGCAGCCGTCCTGGGCATTCCGCAGAGGGCCCCTGCTGCCTGTCCAGGGGCTGAGTCCCAGCTTCTGCAGCTGACAGTGCCTCCAAGGCCCAGGATACCTGAGGACAGGTGTGAGGGTGGCAGTCACCTGTGTCTGAGGGCTGCAGTGGGGCAGGGTGCTGGGAACCACGCTGGCGCTGACGTGGTAGACCACAGCTCTCAGTGGCTCTGGACCCCCAGTGAATGGATCACGGGGTGAGGACTTCTCATCTGTCTCCTCTGGGCTTCCTGGCAGCCCTTTGAGGGATTCTCTGTCGACCCAGAGAGCAGATATGAGACCCAGAAGTAAGGTCACACCCAGGGTCCCATGTAACCATCTGGTTCCAGAGCCTACAATGGCCTCTCCCCATGAAGCAGGCTGCTGAAGCAGGGAAGGGACAAGTGGGGCTGTGCTCAGGGAGGAGGGCCTCACCTGGCCCTGGGCCTCACTCAGTGAGCCCTGACAGCTCTGGGCAAAGGTGCTGACCAGTCCTCGGAGGTCCCCGCAGCCCTGGCGCAGGCTGGCCATCCGAGCCCGAAGTCCTGGAGGGGAGCGCTGTTGAGAGGGCAAGCTCCAAGCCCATGCCCTGGGGGAGCCCCCACCCCTGCCCTTACCTGCCAGCTGCCCATGCATCTGCTGTAGCTCCTGCCTGCAGGTGTGCTCCGTGTCCTGCTGCAGCTGCTGGAGGGCCCCCTGCAGGCCCTGCAGCTGCACCTCCTGCACCCCCAGCTGCCCACCCACCCACCCTGTCACTGAGGGGACGGGCACTCACCAGACCCTGCCCCAGACAGCCCCGGTGCCCCAGCTCCCTCTACCCCAACCCAGGCCAGAGCCCACCTGGACCCGCAGGGCTTCTGTGGTGTCCTGGGCCTCCTGCAGCCGGCCCTGGAGCTCCACCAGGGCCTCTGCACCCTCCTGCAGGGAGTGAAGCCAGGTGGGCTAGAGCCACAGGGAGAGTCATGAGAGGTGGGCAGGGCTTGCCATGGATGGCTTGCCATGGACCTATGCCCTTCAGCTCCATATGGAACTCCTTTCCCCAACTCCTCTGCTCTCCTGAGATCAGTGGCTCAATGGGGGGCACTGAGGAAGAGGGGTGTGCCCCACTGGGCATCAGCCTCCCTGGGGGGGGCTGCACACAGAAGGTCTGGGGCCTGTCCAGCCGGAGCATCCTCTGGCAGGGCTCTCTGCTTCAGCACCTGAGAAGGCACCTGGTCCCACAGTGGCTGGGTGTGAGATGTGCAGAGTTGAGGCACATGTACCTGTGGGGTCCTGGTGGCAGGTCCTGGGCCCCAGTGCAGCAGGAGGTCTCGCATGAGGCTCAGGCTCTGTTTCAGGGCCTCATTCTCTAGAGTGAGATGCTGCACCCTTTTCTCTGAGTCTGTCGCCCCCTGGCAGAGAGGGAAACCCTCAGGACTCACCTGGAGCCCAGGGCCTGTGCCCACTGCCCACCCTGCAGCCTCACCGGCCCCAGGCGCAGTCTGCTCAGCTCCTCCTCTTGCCGCTCCACCTGCAGCTTCAGCTCTTCCAGCTGGGGACAGGCCAGATGTGTGGGTGGGGTTCCCTGTCCCACCCCACCCCAGTCTCCCTGGATCTGGCCCCCACCTGTCCCAGGATGAGCTGCTCCAGCCGCTCCCAAGCCCTCTGGTCCTCCTCAGGCTGAAGGGGCTGCTGCCCCAGGCCTGGGACAAAGTGGGAAGGGCCTTCTTCTCCAGACCGACATCCTGGAGCAGAGCAGGCCCAGTGAGGACCAAGGAGGTGCTGGCCTCCAGGGTAGCAGACTGGGCTTAGGACCCCAGGACTCAGGCTCCCTCTACAGAGTAGTCTCCCAACGTGAGCCCCATACGCACCATATGGACTTGGGGGCTGCACTAGCTGGGTCCCCTGGAGCAGGGCCTGCCTTCCCCTAGGGCTCTGAATCCATGCCAGTAGGGCCAGGACTTGACTGGTCACTGCCAACAGCGGGGGCGCATCAGCTGGCTGAGGAGGCGGTACGAATCAGACAGGGGGCAGTGTGCAGCCCACTGAGGCTGGGAGGGGTGTCAGCCTTCTGCCAGGCTCACCTGGCCCAGGTCGGGAGGATTCCCGCAGCTTTCTTCCGGCCCCAGCTGGACAGAAAGGAATTCAGCCAGGCGCACGAGAGCCTCTTCCAGGGACACCTCGGCTGGGCGGCCCAAGCCTCCCCCTGCCTGCCCATCCTCTGACTCCGAACAACCTGCGAGGTCAGGGAATTGCGGAGGAAGCATTCTGGATCAGGTGTTGGAGGATAGGCCTCTTGTCCCTCCAGTGGGGTCAGGGATAGCGGGGATCCCTCACGACCCCGGCACCTACCGGCTAGGCGGGTCAGCTCGGTCCACAGTTCTGGCGCAGGCTGGTCGGGGCGACGGCGACTTCGGGGCGACGGCGGCCCCTGACCTGGCAGGGGGCTCCCTAGGAAAAGAAAAGGGAGAGGCCCGGAAAAGGGGGCAGCAGCCTATGTGGTCTCTCCCTCCCGGATCTGGGCCAAGGGGTTGGGGCCGTGGTCTGCTCTTCTATGGGGCGCTGAGCCTGGGGTCTTCCTAGCGCCAGCGCCTTTAGAGGCGAGGTGCGCGGGCCCGCAGTGACGCGATCCCGAGGTTGGGTGGGGTTGGAACATGGCCGAGGCGGGGCAGGCCCACCCCGCTCACCTGGGCGGGGTCCCCGGCGTCCGCGGCTGCCGCTGCCCCGCCATCCCTGCGGAAGAGGCTGTAAAAGATGTAGATGAGCAGCGAGTAGAAGGCGTACATGGGAGCGGGGCGGCAGAGGGCCCCGCTCGCACCGCCCCGCGTGCCCGCGCCCCGACTCCGCGCCCGCGCGCTGCAGTGCCGGTGCGCATGCTCCTGGCCCCCGCCCCCACGGGTTCCGTGGGCGGACGGCCGCGCGCGCGAGAGGACACGGTTCCCAGAAACAGGTGTCCCCGCGGCAGCAACCCTGAGGGCCGACCCTTCTGCGCCCCAGCCCAACGCCCCCAATCTCTACTTCACAGAGACCCCTAGCCGAGCGCTGACGCTGCCCGCGCTCTCGGGATCCCTCCCCTTTCTGAGGAGGTCCCGAACCCGGCTCTGGACCCACCCGGCCCTGGGCACACTAAGGTGCGGGCCCCCAGGCTCCGCCCCTCGCAGCCCCGCCCAGTCCCTCTGGTCCTCCTCCCGAAGCCCCGCCCCTCGCGGCCCCGCCTCCACGTCGCGGATCTTCCCCTATGCCTACCTCCAGTTCAGTGCGCGGAACAGAGGCCACTTCTGGCCCCAGACCACTCCAACTGCGCCTGCAGAGCCTCCGGCCAGCCGCCGCCCAGCCCCGCCCCGGCCGCTCTAGCCTGCGCTCTCCTCGCTGGTGGCGGCGCCGGGGCCACAGAGGGAGGTCTGGCCGGGAGGCGGAGCCGACGGCGGTAGGCAGGCTCCGACAGTCCGCTCGTCGCTGCGTCCATCCGCTCGGCCCAGGAGCTGCTCGGTGCCGGCCGGCTGCTGGGGGCCTGTGCCGCCGCTTCCTCCCCGCCGGGGCTCCGAGGACGGCGCCTCCTCGGGCGCAGAGACCAGACTGTTGTAGGAGGCCCGGAGGCTGAGGCTGCCGCGCAGGCCTACGCGACCTCTCTGCTCCGCCTCCCGGGCCCGCCGTCCCTGCCGAGACTCCAGGGCTCGCACCCTCCCAACCGAAACCCGTTTCCCCTCCTTCCCTGGCCGAATTTGGTTTTCTCTACAGGTGTGGGCAGGGACCTCAGGGCTCCGGAAAGTTTAGAACTCTCTCCCAACAGCTAGTACAGAGGCGCTGCAATCTCGGAGTCCTGGCTGGCCGTCCTTAGGGTCCAGGTCGCTGGTGTCAGCGCTTTCCTCCTGCCTCCTCGGATTCATTCGGTGCCATGGCCCTCAGGCCTGGGGGTGAGTGGAGCGCGGCCCTGTCCCACCTAGCGCTGGGAGTGGTGTCTCTGCACGCAGCCGTGCGCTCTGCCCAGGTGAGTGCCCTGGGCCAGGCCGGGACACAGCCCCATTCTTAAACTCTGCAGACCTAGTTCCCTGGATCAGGGAGTGGGTGGTGCTCTAGGGGTGGGCCTGGGGCCTGCTTTCTGAGAGAGCCCTTTCCTGCCCAGAGGGGCAGTCCCTGACCTCTTCCCCAGGCGTCCCCCTTCTCTATCCCCCTTCTCTATTGACAGGCAAGTCGAGGGGCTGCCGCCGGCTTCCTGCTCCAGGCCTTGGCTGCTGCAGTGACGGCATCGGGGCTGGGCACACATGAAGACCACAGGGCTGGGGCCTGGGTGGCCACCGTCATTGGCCTGCCCCTTTTGGCCTTCGACTTTCACTGGGTGAATGGGGACCACTCTTCGGCCAACCTGCTCCTGGGAGGAGGCATGGCGTTGGCAGTGGCTGGTGATCACCTGGGCCCAGAGGGCCGCTCTGTGGCTGGTCAGGCAGTGCTGTTGGTGGCTGCAGTGACCATCCTCATTGTGGCCGTTTTCACGGCCAACGCCTATGGGATGTGGGCAGGAGCGGTGCTGGGTGCAGCAGGCCTCCTGAGCCGCCTGGAGCAGGACAGAATGCTGTTGCTTCCCAAGGAGGATGTCTGCCGCTGGGCCCTGGCTGCCGGTACCGCCCCCGCCCCCGCCCAGGAGTAGGTTCTCCTTTCTCTTGAATGAACTTGCTGCGGATTGACAGGTCAGGGGGTGGAGCCTGGGTGTAGTCCCTCTTCTGAGAATGCAGGAACCAGGCTCCTAGGTACATTTGAAGACCTGATTCTGGGCTGGACGTGCTGGCTGTGAGTCCCGAGAGGCTTGGACTCCAATAAACCTTAGGAATTCTGCAGGAATATGGAGTCTGCCCATTTGTGAGGGAGCAAGGGAAGGGTCCTCAGGGAGCCCCCTAAGACCCCAAGAGCAGCATCTTATTTCCCTGAATGAAGGACGGGGATGTGCTGGAATCCACAAGGGCCCCAACTCCCGGGAGAACTCCTGGGCAGAGAAGTCGAGAACCGGGCTCCCTCTCCTGGGACAAGATGGGGTTCTGGATGACCTGAGGGTCTGGCAGGTACTCTCTGGGCAGTGGCCTTCACGGGCTACCGGCCGGACGGGGCAGGGCACAACTGTTCCAGAATGCGCGTCCCGTCCCCGGGTTCACTACCCGCTCCAGTTCGCCTTGTCTGTGGAAGCCCAGCAAACACTGCTCCCTCGGTCTCCAAGCTCAGGATTACGGAGCCAGGCCGAGCGCTGGGTTACTATTGCTAGGCTCGGGGTCCGAACCCCTGCCCTGCGGTCACGCTGCTTGCCTCCCACAAACAAGTGCGGTCCCGCCCGAGACCGACCATAGCCCTGCTTCCAGCCTGGTGAGCCAACCCAGAGCCCGCGCTCGCCACCCCAAGTCCTGCGGGACAAAAGACGCAGGCACCCGCTGACGTCGGGACCAGGGTGCCCCCACCCGTCTGATTCGCGGGGCACGGGTGCCGCCTGTACCTGCGCTCGGCGCCGCTGTCCCCGCCGCCCCCACCCCCAGCGGTGCGCCCCCTCGCGGGTCACCCCAGGCCCTGCCCCCGCAGGACCGCCTCCTGCAAGGGGCGGGTTCAGGAGCGCCTATTGGCTCCGGCCGCAGCACC